TTTCAATGGAGGCTCTGATGTCTATCTGCAAAATGGAAAGTTCAGGCCAGAAGACACCTTATATAAGCAAGGAGGAAACACACATCCATAGCTAAACCAGCCTTGGAGTGTTTTGCCAAAGACTACTCTTGCCCAAACTCAGTGTTAACATAACTGGATGGCCCAGGGCTTTTCTCAAAGGAGTTATGTAAGAGTCATTTGAGTCAGCAGAATGGCTTGTCGGGTAGAGACACCCACTTTTGACTCTCACAGCTGCTTTTTCTCAGACACACTGTAGAACTATCTTCCAGCAAATCTCTCTCCTAATTTAAGTTACTACCAACTTGATTTACTACCCAACTGAAAAACACACCTGATCTGTGACCAGTCACACACACACACACACACACACACACACTGGTCATGAGCCTTCTCAGTGTTCCACATTTCTTGGAGGCTCCATGGCTAGATACTAGATTGCCCCCTCTGCTTGCATTGCCCAATGTGACAACCCTAAGGAATCAGGCACTAATCCAGAGGACTGGGACAATGGCTAGGTGGTAAATGCCTGCCACACAAACATGAGGATTTGGGTTCAATCCCTAGCACAGCACCCAAGTAAAAGTCAGGTGCAGTGACTCACATATGTACGTCAGGAGGGTGGGGAAGTCAGGGGGCACAGGCAGATCCCCAGAGCTCATTAGCCTAGCTGACTTGATGAATCCCAGGTTTAGCAAGAGACCATGTCTCCAAAATTAAGATGGAGAGTGATCAAGGAAGACATCCAACATCAACCTCCAACATACAGAATCTCACATGACCAAGTCCATACATCACACGTACACACTCACGCACTAAAGTTCACACGCACACAGACAAGAATATGGCACAACTCCAATGGACTCCAAGCAAGTAAAATGACAAAGGAGCTCATCTCCTTGTTACTTCAGGAAAACCAGGCAGTTACATTCTCTGAAACCTAAAGAATGATCAAGTGAACCAAAGGACCATTCCTCCTCTCTCAGTGTGGGGCAGGGACCCATCACTTGGGTTGAGCTACATGTGCTCCACAGGCAGAAAGCCCCTAAATGGTGACCAAAATGGCTGGGAGACCAAAGGGAGAGTTTACCAGGCATCTCACTTAGGCACACTGGGACACAGGACAGTGTTTTCATGGAGCCCCATTCAACTTTATAGCATTGGAGAGGAATGTGAGGAAGGGAGTTAGTCAAAAATAGAATTCTTTCCTTTCTTATCCAAGTCTATTTTAAAAGTTTGTATACGTTCTAATTTTTAATGTCAAGTTAGTTTGTATCAACTTCTCTGTGTGTGTGTGTGTGTGTGTGTGTGTCTGTCTGTCTGTCTGTCTATGTTCATCTGCGTATCCATGTCTACATCTCTATATACCAAATGTTGGTATCAGGTGTAGTTCCTGAATTGCTCCCCACCTTAGTTTTTGAGACAGGGTCTCTCTCAGAACCTGGAGCTCACTGATTGCCAGCAAACCCCAGGGATCCTCCTATTTCCACTTTCCAGTGCTGGGGTTACAGGTGAGCACCACTGAGCCTGGTTTTTATGTGGGTGCAGGGGCTCCAACACACCTCTCGTCATGTTTGCAGGGTGATGATTTGATAAGAACGGCTGCCACAGATCCAGCTCACATGCCTGAGTACCTGGTCCTCAGCTGGTGGACTGTTTGGGAAGAATTAGGAGGTGTGTCCATGTGGGTGGGCTTTGAGGATTCACAAGACTCAAGTCATTCCCATTGTGATTTTGGCCTTGAGATGTGAGCTCTTGGTGGGGAGGGTGCAGGGAACACATTGGGAGGGTTTGGAGGGAGGAAAGGAAGGGGAAAATGATGTAATTATAATCTCAAAAAAAATTTTTTTTTGCCTGCCTGCCGACTACCAGGCTCTCTGCCATGATGGCGATAAATTTCATATCCCTCCGGAATGAAGATCCCCAAACAAACCCTTCCTTCATAAGCTGTCTTGCTCACAGAGTTTTATCACGGCAACAGTTAAGTAACTAATACACATTGCAAGCACTTCACTGGCTGAGTCAGTTCCCGGCCCTGTTAGGTCAACTCGGAAAAAGCCTGCTCCGCAGCCATTCCTCCTCATTCACTAAGAAACACGAATGTTCCTGTGAAAACTACTCCAAAATGCAGAGTGGTAGTTATGAGACCCAATTCTGACTGGATTAAAAGTTCTCCTGAAAGCTAGGGCAGTTGTAAAGCTGTGCTGGCCAATATACCCACTGAGGTCTCCAGCTGCTGTTTCCTGATCAAAGGGGAGCATTTAACTGGATATGTATGCCCTGACCTCTTTCCCTGCTTAGAATGCAGATCCAAACCCTGACAATCATCAATCTTCCTACAACCATGAGAACTAAAGCCACAAGCTCCCAACAGCACAGCAGGAAATTAGATGGCTTAGGATGACACAGGACATCACCCGGTGACCACATCCCCTTTGTCCTCCACTGAACTCCTAGAAAGCCAGTCCTATTTCAGTCAGGCCAGAGCAAAGTGTCTGTTGGATGTAGCCAAATTCAGTGCTAACACATGCAGAAGAATGCCTGGAAATCATCCCCAAACAGCACAGGTTTGAAACTCAGGAGGAAACGGGCACCATGCAGACCAAGTGAGTAAGTCTGATGGTGTGTTAAAGTGAGAAGTGTCAAGGCACAGAGGCACACGCTTGCAATCCCAGCACTCGAGAGGCTGAAGCAAAAAGACCCTGAAGTTTGAGGCCAACCTGAGCTACAAAGCAAACTATCTCAGAAACAAACAAGCCAGCAAACAAAAAGTAAGTGGCCAGGCAGTGATGGCGCATGCCTTTGATCCCAGCATTTGGGAGGCAGGGGCAGGCCTGGTCTATAAAGTCAGTTCCCTGCTGACCTGAGTTCAATCCCTGAACCTATGGTGGAGGGAGGGAGCCAACTCAAAATGCCCAGGGCCTGGATTACAGCATGTGCCACGGCACCTGGCCCTAACCATCCTCCATGCAGCCCTTCAACAGGAACAGCAGAGTGCAAAGACCAAGTCACTCACTACCATGTTCAATGAACAGGAGCTTACACGGTGCTTTTTAGTTTACCAGAGTACTTAAATGCATAGCTCTCTTGATCCCCACATTCATCCAATGGCACTGTGATCACCATTTGACAAATGACAAGATGGAGGATTCCAGAGATTAGAGGATTTAAGAGTCAAGCAATTAGAAGAGCCAGTGGCAAGCCCGTGTGTCTCCGCCTCCTTCTTTTACCACCTCACTTTAAAATAACTATTTATCCAAAACTAATTCCTACTTGACTCTAAAGTAACCCCAGTCTGCCTGACAGTTCCCAGGTACCACACTTATGTCTTTTTTAGGGATATCTCCACTAAATAAAGTCAGCAAGGGGATAAAAATAAACATAACAAGTAGTATGCTCGGAACTGGGTGTAAATGGGCACAAATCCTGGATCTAATTTTAGAAAGAAACAGCCAAAGAGTCTCACACAGCCCAGTGAGTATATGGTTCTGTGGGAGGCTGCCCATGCTGCTTCAAATGCCAGTGCCTCAGGAAGGGGAGGGAGACATTCTGGAATTCTGCTGGGTACCAGAGAGATGAGGAGCAGAATGAATTTTCATAATGATTTCTAAGGAAGATGCTGAGAACCAGCGTCAGCAACAGGTATGCATAACACACACACACACACTCACAAAACTAGACTGCCAGCATTTCTTAGAAGATCAAGCAGTGCTGATCTATATCCTACCATCCTCAACCAGCTCTGAGGAGGTACCAGTTATCCCTTTAGAGTGGTCATATGACCTGCAGGCCCTAATATCCTCCCTAGGGTCTTCCGCTGATGAGGGAAGAGTCAATTGCCAGATTTTACATGCTGGAATCACAGTTACGATAGTAATTCCTCATGTTCATGCTTCTGCAGTAAGTGGGAAAATGAAAGATGCAGACAGGACCACATAAAGAGCTTAAGAAAATGGTGACATCATTTCTGATACAGGGAAAAACATCTCCACTTGTGTCTGGGTTATGTGCACCTATGTGATCTGCCAGGCTTCTCAGCTTAGGTCCCCTTAGCCACTACTCACGAACTGCTGAGTTAGACAACTGCCAAGCAGCCAGATTTCCTACTGTCTGGTGACTCACTTTCTAGTGGAGCACAGAGACATGGAGAACTACAATTAGCAAATAACCCAGCCTAGGAAACATCGGTTGCTACTGACAGCAACTCCCAGTTATGTGATCCAACCTTACAGCACCAGTGTACAGTCTGCATTTTGAAACTTCCCAGTCCCTCACTTCAGGTGGCATTAAAAGCTCCACGAGGCTGGGGATATGGTCAGTAGGTAGAGAGCTTGCCTAGCATGCATGAAGTCCTGGGCCTGGTCCTAGCACCTGCAATAACAGGGCATGGCAGTTCATGCCTGTATTCCCAGCTTTCAGGAGGTAGAGGCAGGAGAATCAGTAATTCAGTGTCCTCCTCAGCTGCATAGTGAGTTCCACACAAGCCTGGCCTACTTGAGACCTTGTCTTTAAAAAATAAAACAAGCCAGGTGGTAGAGGAACATGCCTTTAATCCCAGCACTTGGTAGACAGAGGCAGGTGGATCTCTGTGAGTTTGAAGCCAGCCTGGCCTATAGAGTGAGTTCTAGAACAGCCAGGCCTGTTACGAACACACACACACACACACACACACACACCACACGCACGCGCACACACACACACACACACACACACACACACACACATGTAGCAAAAAGTCAAAAATCAAATAAAAAGAAATAACAAAATAAAATAAAAACTGTACATTATGAGTTTGAAGAAAAAAAAAAGTCCAGAGTCCAGTAGGTCAATGACCTAGAAAGGAACTCCCAAATCAAGACATGTAGGCAGCTGGCATTCCAACCAGATATAGAGGACCACAACCCTACTATCAAGGGTTCATTTCTTCTTAAACGGCATTTCTCTTCACCTTCTTGTTTCCTCTCTGTCTTTGTAGCACTCACCTCTCCAGTCTGAGTCAATGAAGAATTCTTGTTACTCAAGTAACTCTCAGCCTGTGTTGAATCCTGTTGAGCTCGGCGGCCCATCTTGGCCCCCTGCAAGGAGAGACCAGAGCACAAATGATCCAATGGCACTTGAGGCCCTGTGAGTATGACAGAATGGTAAGCCAGGACTGGAATTTTATGGCATGGCAGAGAGCAGGATTTGGTATTCACAGAGAATTCTCTAAATCTTTATGAGAAAGTACCCAAGACAATGTTCTCTTTGGCAGAACAGGAAACATACAGGTTTTTGATCATGAGATTTGCAAAAGCCAGCTACAGCAAAAGCAAAGTTCCTAACACAGAGATAAAAACACAGCTAGTTTGGGCAGAAGCCTCAAACCACAACTCAGAGCGGATGGTAAAGGCTCCCACCATCCTAGGCAGGACTTGAGTGACAGCTACCAGACAGGCTTTCAGGGAGAATTCCTCAATTTCATGGCAACTGACACCAGAGGAGCCCATCTAGAGAGAACTCTTGCCC